ACATTCTTTTTTTTTTTTTTTAATTTATTTGAGGGGTGGGGGAAGGCAGGGAGAGAGGGAGAGAATCTTAAGCAGGCTCTGCCCTGTCAGTGCAGAGCCTGATGTGGGGCTCAAACTCACAAACCGTGAGATGGTGACATGATCCGAACCAAGAGCAGGACACTTAACTCCCTGAGCCATCCAGGCGCCCCCTGACTTCTTGATTTCTAATAAAAATGTTCTGGAGGAAGGAATGTCACTGTCAAAATACCCATTTTTCCCTCCGAGCCCTTTCCCAGTTCTGCTCCATCTGTATTTTCTTAGAACTGGAAACATCTTCTCCCCACCCCACCTTGCCATCTTCCTACCCCCTAATGGGTTCACACCCTGACATTGGAAATCATTCTCAAGAATCGAGCTGTGCTCAAGTTATGAGGCTCAGAGGTACAGAAGCTCAGTGATTCTGGAGACCTCAACCAAGTTCTTTCCTCGGCTTCCATGCTGGAGGCCTCCAGGCAGCTTCCCCAAGAAAGGAAGGAGGGAGGAGGCCAGGGGTGGAGAGAGGCTATTCCTGAGGGGATTTCTTCACTTCCTGGCAGGCTCCAGGACACAAACGTGTTTGTTTAGGCAAGAAAGGAATGTCATTGATTGCTCCGTGGTAGTGGTGAGGGGAAAACAAAAATAATCTGCCCAGCAGTTCGCTGCACTTCCTGTGCATGTGTCTGTCTGTTTGCAGGCCTGGCAAACTCCCTGCTTGTTTAGGCCAGGAAGGATTCACTTGGGAACATTAAATCGAGCCAGGGCCTGCTGAAAAGGCACCCTCTCACCCCCGGGTACCTGACACTCACCTGGAGAACAGCTGCCTCCTGGCACCCAGGAGAAGGATCTTTATTCTTATTTATAGCTTCTGGAAGTGGAAGAGGTCATCTCTCTCCCCCTCCTCCATTCTCTCCTCTTACCCTCCACTGTCAGCATCTGGCTTCACCCTCTCTTTATGTCTCTTATCTCCCCAATAAACTGTGGGTTCCCTGAAGGGTGGTAATTCAGTCAGATTCCCCTCCATATCCCAGTCCGGGCACTCAGTAGGTTCTGGCACACAGTGGGTACTCAATATATGTTTGAGGAACTGAACTTGGTTTCCTACATCCCTCCTTTTGTTTCCTCAGTCACATTCTCACAGTTAATGCTCTGCACAATCCTGTGAGGTAAATATTCTTATCCCCATTTTACAAATGAGAAGGCTAAGCTCAAAGTTGACTTCTCCCAGCTAGTGAGCTTTGAAACACTGGGATGTGGACATAACAGGCCCTTCTCTGGTCTCCAGTTCCTTCCCCCCCCGTTTTTTTTAAATGTTTATTTATCTGAGAGAGAGAGAGAGAGTGCGCGCGCATGCACACAAGTTGGAGAGAGACAGGCAGACACAGGATCCGAAGCAGGATCTAGGCTCTGAGCTGTCAGCACAGAGTTCGACCCCAGGCTCCAACCCATGAACTGAGATCATTAGCCGAAGTCGGATGCTTAACTAACTGAGCCACCCAAGCACCCCTCCATCTATGGTGCCTCCCTTTATGAGCCTGCCCTGACTACCCAACATACATTCTAATTCCACTCCTAAATATTCTTACACACCTTGATTGTTGATTTCAAAGACACTCTGGACCTCCAGTCTACAGGATGAGATTAGGTGGCAGGAAGAAAGTGTGAGCATAAACTTCATGCAGATAACTCAAAGATTTCCCTGTTCCTTCTTTTCAAGCACACCTTTTAAAATGTAAATTGCATGCATATTTGATCATGCTCATAATGGATCTGCATAGTTATGCAAGGATAATTTTTAAATACATAAACACAAATAATGTCATACATTGAGATGCATCTGCAAATTGTTTTCATTGGGCATCTGATCAAAACAGCTTGGGATGGGACACTGACCATGGTTCCAGGCACCTTACAGCTTTGTGCCTCAGATTATCCTTCTGGAAGATGGAGGAAATCCTTAACCAGAAGCTCAGTGAGAAGATTTCCATAAGAAATGGACTACAAGTAGGGGTTCCCATCTTTGGAAGCCAAGGAGGAGCAGTCTGCACCTCTTGAATCCAGTGCTGCTTAATTTGGGAAACCAGAAAAGGGTTTCTCAAACAGTGGGGTCCCCCCCACCCACATCCCTCAGAGGGCATTTGCTTGGCTCTTCTTCTAACGACTTTATGGAGATATAATTCACATACTGTGCAAGTCACCCATTTAATGTGTGCCACTCAGTGATTTTTAGGACATGCACAGATCTGTGCGACCATCACCACCTGTACTTTAGAACATTTGCCTCACCCTGAAAAGGAACCTCAGAGCCATTAAACTCTCTGCCCCTTACCTGCTCTTTCTTGCTCTCTCTCTCAAAATAAATAAATAAACTTAAAAAAATAAAATAAATAATATTCAGAATCACAAGTCAGAAGGAGGCTCGCCCTGCCTGCCGTTCTGTAATTGAATCACCACTCACCAACGTTTGTGCACAATTTACTTATGCTTTTCTTATATATGATGATACCATGAAGCAACTGGTCTGAGAGACTGGTATGATTGCCCCCATATCGCTGTAAAGAGACAGATGAGCCAATGCCCAGGCACACCCAGTTGTAAGCCTCAGGGCAAACCAGGGCTTCCTGACTTGAAGTCCAGTGCTTATCCATAATACGTCTTCTGGCTCTGTGTTCTAAACCAAGGATGAATCCATGTGCTCTGACAGGTATAAGTATATTTATGGAGACTGTGAGGAGCTAGGGTCTGGATTCCTACCTGCTCAACCCCTTCCCTATCCCAACAGTGGCCCCTGCAGCCTCTTAGTGGAACCCCTAGTGCTCTAAGGAGCACAGTTTGAAAACCACTGGCCTAGGCATTCTAAATCATCCTTCAAGGAGGTTTTAATCTAAATGAGATAACCATTTTGTTAACTTACTAAACATTTTTAAACAGCTGCCTTGTGCTAGGTATTGTATGTAGTAGATTCTGGGCACATGAAAAAAAAAATATTCCCAAGGGGCTTATAGTCTAGAAGGGGGTCAAGTAACAACATAAGTGATACATTTGTGGTACCAGAAGTTCATACCTGGGAGTATGGGCAGAGGAGACAGCTAACATGGCCTGGGGATGAGAGGGAAGGCTTCCTGGAGGAAGTGAGGCCTGAACTGGGACTTGAAGACAGAATGGCCCTTCACCATGCAGAAGAATGTTCTAATTTCCTGAATGTCCTTATTTCAAATACAGTAAAACATTAGTTTGCGAGCATAATTCGTTCTGGAAATATGCTGGTAATCCAAAGCACTTGTATATCAAAACAAATTTCCCCATAAGAAATAATGGAAACCCAGATGATTCATTCCACATATATTCATATAAAAATATTCATATAAAAATAATTACCATGGTTCATACCACAACCCAAAAATATTCGTATAAAAATGATTACCAATATATATAATATAATATAATATAATATAATATAATATAATAAAGAAAATACAAAATGTTAAGAAAAAGAAACTGTTAAGAATGTTAATGTTAAGAATTTCTTAATGTTAAGAAAAATTAACCTGCGCTTAATCTTCGAAAACCTTCCTGGCTGGTGTAAGGGAGACGTGGAAGAGGAGGGTTATTGTGTAGGGTGACTTTCACTATCACTAACGGAATCACTGCTATGTATTGGCTTGATGGAATCTTTTTCTGATTGGGGGCCACTGTATATGTTCGCATGGATGTTGACTACAGTACTGTACTAAATAACTATTGTCATAGACTGTATTTAATGTAACTGGCAATAAGGCAGCAGAGGAAAGGGACTATATCTGCAGGCAGCCTGACCTAGAATGAAGCAAAGCATTCCTAAGCTCACGCTTAGATGGAAACGCAAAAGACTGTCCATAGGTGCTTTGAAGTGACAAAATATTCACTAGTGCCTATTGTGGGCATCTTCCAATGTTCTGAAAAATCACTGATTCCTGCCAAACACCATGGCCTGAGACCCAGCATCCAAGCATGGGAGACAATCACTCACAATCCTGCAGAGAAAGAGAGAACCATTGGCTTAGTTGTGATCATGTGACATTCAGTGTCACGTACTATTCATATTGCAAGATATCGCTCATTCATCAATTTAAAATTTATTAGAAATGTTTGCTCATCTTGCAGAACACTCACAGAACAAGTTACTTGCAATCCAAGGTTTTACTGTACTTGGCTTCACTGTCTACAGATATGCCCTGATTTGGGTTGAGAAAATGAAGTCAGTGGGGATGAAGCAGTATCAGCTGTGATTAAATATCTCCCTCTATCAGAATCACTGAGGACTCTGATCCACTTATTTCAGCCAGTATATATGGATCCCCCAAATGTATGCCAAATACAGTACCAGATTCTGAGAATGGAGAAAAAGAAGACGGAAGATAAAAAATAGATAGGTGGATAGAAGACGGATGGATGGATAGATGGATGGATGAATGGATGGATGGATCGATGGATGGATGAATGATTGATAAATATGTAGCACAGAGTTGAGAGTATGTGAGCACTCCCAATAAGCGTCATTTCTGCCCAAGGTGTGGGATAGAGGTGGGCAGAGTATCCAACAACATCACAGAGGAGCCATGGAACCCAGTAATGGGAAACCATGA